GTTTGGTCTGTAATTATAGTTTGTCTTTACAATTTTTACAATGATTTTTGCATTGTAAATATCTTGTATGGTTGGTGTAATTAGGTTCAAGTTGGCTCAATTTTTGTTGTTCTACTTGGTTATCTTCTAATTTCCCTTGCATATAACAGATCTTTATATTTATTCTGTGTTTTTGTTTTCATCATCATCTGCCAGCCTTCCACTATGTTAGATGATGATGTGGAGGAGGTCTAGGAGTAGTCTGATTAACTGATCTAGTTTTAGTATTGTTTGGTGTCTATTTAATATCTGAAAATTATATCTACGTTATCTGTTAACTTTTGTTTAGTTTTTGTGTTGATAAATTTCTGTAAATTGAATGGATCATGGTCACTATCATCTTTTGTTTATGTAATGTTAAGTTTCAGTTTCAGTGAGAATGCAGTTTCTGTGTTTGTTCATTTCACTTGAAATGTGTAGTGCATTTTTTTAATTGTTGGTTTTATGTTATTCTATATCAATTATAACTTGAAAGGATCAAGATGCCCAAGAGTGGGGGGAGGTGAATTGGGCTAATTCTAAATTTTTGCAATAACTAAGTCCTACACTTAGCCCATTTCACCCCTTGTGACTAGAATGTGTTTCTATTGTTCTCCCGCACAAAAGTTCTACACCCTAGATTCCAATCCTACTCTAGCATGCCAATTCTAGGAATGTAAAGACATGAAATGAATTGCTCAAATGTAAATGCTCAAAGTAAAGAGAGGGAAAGGAATATGGCGATGTTTTCCCGATGTATCGGAGAGTCGCCACTCCCCACTAGTCCTCGTTGGAGCACCCGCGCAAGGGTGTAGCTCCCCTTTGATCCGCACAAGGATCAAGTGCTCTCTATGGGTTGATTCTTTGACATTTTGTCGCGGTGAATCGCTCACAACCGCTCACAACATGACTTGGGTCATCCACAAGCTTCGCCGGATGATCACCAAGCTCCTAATCACCACCGACCCATCTAGGTGATGGCGATCACCAAGAGTAACAAGCATAAACTCTCACTTGACCAAGCCAAGCCTAATGAGAAAGGTGGATGCACACTTGCTACTCCCTATGTACTAATGAGGTCCTTAATCTTAGATTATCAAATCTCAATCACCCCACTAGGCTCTTACTCTCCCTTGTACTCCAAAGGTGTTTCTCAGCTGAACAAATGGGCAAGAGACCCCCCAAGGACGAGTGGAGTAAGTATTTATACCCCCTCATTCAAAACATAACGTTTAGAGGCTGAGTCATCATTCTGTGGGGTGACCGGACGCTCCGGTCAGTTGTACCCGCCACTGTGTCAGAGAGAGCCGTTAAGCTCTGACCGGACTCAGACCAGGGTCCAGTCAGCACCCACCGGACACGTCCGGTCAAGAAAAAGCCTCTCTAGAACATCTCTAGAGTAGACCGGACGCAGGCACCCCCAACATTCGATGCTCCTCCACTCAGCGTCCAGTCAGTACCAGACGACTGCAGTTGATCAAATGAACTAACCGGACTCACCCTCCAGCGTACGATCACAACCAGACCACCGTCCGGTCAGTCATTTGACCCTCCATTCACTTCCAACTCGAAATCCTATATGAATGAAGTTGACTCCAAGTGATCTTAGGGCTATTCCTGAGCTATCTAGTGCTAGGTTTGATAAGTGTGCACCACACATAACCCACTAGACTCACCTAGGTCAAGCTACTAGTCCATACCCTCTTAATAGTACGGCCAAAGGAAAAACAAAGTCCTAAACTACTCTAAGTGTCTCTTCAACTCTAAATGACACTTATAACTAGCCGTCCTTAACCTTGTCGTCTATCCTTTAAAAACCGAAATGAATTCCATCGATGGGGGCATGAAAACCATAATTGCCCAATCAATTGCCATTACCATGACCTAACTTAAATTGCCTCTGCAAAACACATATTAGTCATAGTAATCTCGTGGCGTCATTAATCACCAAAACCCAACTAGGGGCTTAGATGCTTTCATAACTGTACAATTTTTTTCTTTGTCAGGTGTTCATAGGCATGGCTGCTGTGAAAGTATGTTTTGTATCTATTTTCATAGTTTCATTTTATTCTACTTTGTTTTTAATTGCACATTGATCTAATCTATCTATCCCATATTGTTTTTTTAAATTTTTTTAGAACAAGCGTTCTCCCTACACCTATGAGAACAGGCGTGTGTCTTATTATGTGATGGAGTTTCTTGAGCTTCAAGTTGGCGAGCAGGATCATTTGATGGCAGCTAGAAATATGATGAAGTGGAAATGTGAAGATAAAGCTATCATGGTTGCTCGTGCTGCTAAGCAAATTGGTTCCAAAGCTTTTGTTAAGAATTTCAAGTTTTGCTACGATGAGGCTGATGAGACTGTTTATTGCCTTGTTCACCATGATGGCCTAGCTACTGACAAACATCGTTTCTGTTATCATGTTGCTGAGGAAACTGTTTCCTTCTTTGAAGTCAAGAGTATTCTTGAGAGGGAGAATTCAAGAAGAGATTTCCTTGATATGGAAATTCAGATTAGGGTATTTCTTACAGTTTTTATTAGTTTTGGATGTTGCTTTTGGAAACTTATTTTTCTGAATGCTATTTTCTTGTTATCTATAGTCGTTTTCTTGTTTTTCATAGTTGTTTTGTGCAATATTGCCTTACTAAGTCTATATGATTGTGACATAGGAGTGGTAGAAATCAAAATATCAAAGGACGGCATGCATTTACATGTATTTAGCATATCAGCAAACTTCTGAAGAATGAACTGTGATGAATAGATGAACAGATTGAGTTCTATTTTAATACTTGCACTATTATGCTTTGATACTAAAGCATAATAATGATGATGTTTATTTAATCTACATGATACTATTTCATTTCTTTATTATTTTTTCTTTTTTAGGGAAATTGTTCTGATTCAACTGTGGACAATGAAATTGTTTCATTGTTTGTTGTTGAGCATCTGGATTTAGTTCCTGAAGCTCAAAACAGACTTCTTGCTGCAAAGGGTCTGGAAAACGAAGACAAGGTGAAGCTGGTAGCTCGTGTTGTTCGGCAGAACCGTGGTGCGTCTTCTCTGCCGAAGTTCAAGTATGCTTTGGATGGTGTGAATGGGACTGTCTATCTGTTGGTTGGCGATGCTCAGGAGGCTCAGTTGATGGCTGGTCGTACTTTCAAAGTGGGAGGTCAACTTATGAGTTTTTATCGTGTGCTTAACATTGAGACAAGGTCTGCAGGTGATGACATTTATCAGTCTGCTTCTGTGCGCAAGGTTTGGCCGCCTAGTGCTGTTTAATTCAACTTTGTTGAGGTATTTGGTTCTCTGATCTTATTGTGGGCATGGTGATGGCAAGTAGTAGTTGAAACTGTTTAAGTTGTTAAATTAGTTAAGTAATGGACTCTTATTAGAAGAATGTCTTGTGTATCTGAACTTGTGGTTTCTAAATTCTTGCTTATGGATGTTGGCTTGTAATATATATGTCTTCTTATAATTTCTGTTTGTGTTTCTTTCAATATGTATGCTTATTTAGTTTCCAGGATGAGTGTTTTTTTCTAGCTGGTTGCTATTCCAGCCTTATCTCTATTGATTTGTGCTTGTACTGTAAATTTAGATAATTTATGTTGTTTGGTTCATGTGCTCCTGTATTGTTTCCTTACATTTTATAGTTTTAGTGTACTGTAATTACAGTAAGTCATTTAATGCTTTACATTGGTATGTTCAGTGTAAATTTCTTTTTTGAGTGGTGTAATTTGTTTTAAGTTTTTAAATCTGCATTCTGTAATTTGTTTTTCTTTTTGTTATATTTGAATTTCTTCCAATTTGCCTTACATAGAAAAAATCTATAAATTTTTCTTCTACTTAAATTTGTATTTTGTGAATCTGTTATCTTTATTTTGTATTTCTTTCTATGATATTTGAATTTCTTCTGATTTTCCTTCCATAGAAAAAATCTATATATTTTTCTTCTATTTAAATTTGCATTTTGTGAATTTGTTACCTTTATTTTGTATTTCTTTCTGTTATTTTTGAATTTCTTCCAATTTGCCTTACATAGATAAAATTTGTTTATTTGTATATTTGATTTTGTTCTGTTTTTTTGTTATTTTTTTGTTGCCTTTGGATTTGGATCTTATGGTTTTTGAAAATCGGGTGATTGCTAGATTGAAATCACTCGATTCTGGTTTGGAGATAGAATCGAGTGATTTATGGTTCTAGCTTACTCGGGTGACCAATCCCCGTAAATCACCTGACATATTAGTAGACAGACCCTTATTTTATTTTATTTTATTTGATGTATATGCACTAGTAGTACTAGTACGTATCTGTTTATATATAAGAGTCCTAATACTCTACGGCAAAGACCAGCCGCCTATTTAAAGGTGATGGCCAATTGGAAAAGTCTCTACACAATCGACACAAAACAAATCTATTATTATCGTTTTTTTTTACTTTTCTTCTATTTTTTCACATCTAGGTCAGTAGTCATGCTTTGCTAGTTTCCCGCAAACAAGCCGCGTGCTCCGGCGTTATTGGAGTATCATCCTTTGTTGTTCTTACTTGTAAAGCAGCCGACGATTTTTCGCCGTAATCGAAGAAGTTATCTCTTTACTAGTTTGCTCGAAAACTAGTCGTGTGCACTTCTACGAAAGTGAGGCAATCTATATATCGGTGACTCCTGTCAGGCCCGTAGATTAGCAGGAGCAAGCTGTGCGGCTGTTCAGGGCCTCCAAACTTTAAAGGCCTCCAAAGTACTAATTAACAATGGTTGATCAATTATTGGATAGAAGAAATAAAATGCAACATTACAACATAGGCCTTAGATTACCGATTAGCTAATTGGACCAGAAGGACGTAAGCTCGGTGGCCAATGCCGGCCGGCCTGTTTGGCTTGGCTTCTTAGATTTTAGGGCTCTATCTTATGTTTCACACAGGGCCTCCAATTTGTAGGTACGGCCCTGCTCCTGTGTTGATTTTCGGCGTCAACACTACTCTGCAGAGGCGACGCTCGCAGGGGCCAAGGCAGCAGCTGCAGCAACCGTCGCCTCCGCGATTCCCACGGTGAGTTCTCTTCACATCACCAAACTCAAAACTCTTTTTCCCCCTATAATCATAATAAGTGTTTGTTGTTTCAGCTGGCGAGCGTGAGGATGCTGCCATGGGCGAAGGCCAACATCAACCCCACCGGCTAGGCCCTCATCGTCTCCACAAGTACTAAATCCCGCACACACTTCTCTGCACCTCCATCCTTTGCTTCTTCTTCAACTGAACAGTGAACAAGTATATGTTTTCCAACATATATAATCACTCACTGAACTGATCCGATACACGTTTTCCTCAACGACAATTGACTACTCATGCATGCAGTTGCCGGCATGGTGTACTTCATCACAGCGGACAAGAAGATCCTGTCGCTGGCGAGGCAGCACTCGTTCGAGAACGCACCGGAGCACCTCAAGAACACCTCCTTCCAGGGCACTGGTCGTCCCCACCCGGCCTTCTTCAGGCCTTAAACCACCAAATGATGCAGATATCTGTTATGATGTGCCCTGCTACATCTGTACTTCCATTTACATATAGTAAGCGTCTATGTATATGTTCGTTGCAATAAGCAGGCCCCTGCATTGCAGACCAGCAAGTAGCTGCGAGCTTATTAGCGTAGCTTCTGCGTAGTGGTGTAATCTGCTTTGAACATGCGTTCATGCTGTGTACGACTATATCGTCAGCGACATGATATGTATCGCAGTAATGAAATACTTGTACACCTTCTTTCCATCGCCTCATCGTTGCACAGTGGACTCTTTCATTTATGAACTCTATCTATGCAACACCAAACTGATTAAAATGGCTTAACTTTGAGCTGACATGAGTGAAAAAAAGAATCTCCTATCATCAGGAACCAGTGAAGACCATCATGCATATGTAGTGTGAGGTTTTGGAGTCGACAAGTTGAGCATAATCTTGCAGGTAAGTAGGTGCGCCCCGTTTGTATGGTTTCACACAGGATGGGCTTCAAAGTCCCAAGATATATACTCCTATCTTCTTATTACTAAAGCACTACTTCAGCATAAGCAGAGGCGGAGCCACCACTAGGGCGGAAGCCCTAGGTCCCCTTGGCCGAGAACCATATCCCCACCCCCTGGAGGCCGCCGGAGTTCGAGCTGAAGGGCCAAGACGGCGGAGGCGCGGCGCGCGGCGCTGGTTTTTTCGGCGAGGACAAAGCAGAGCGCCGGACGGCTGGGGCAGAGGGGTCGTGGGCCACGGTCGTATACTGGTATTGGCCCAGACTAGGCCCAACAACAGTTCGACGGCGCCCCACTCGGTCCCAGTTAGGTAATCGCGGCCGCGTCCCACCTCCAGGCTCGCCGCCTCACGCTTGCCCGCTCGTCGCCTCCGCTCCGCCCTCCAGGCTTGCCGTTCGGCGCTCGCCATCGCCGCCTCGGCCCCCAGGCGCAGACGGTGGATCCAGTCGACGCGACCCCGCCTCAGCCCCCAGCCGCTACCGCTCGGCGCCGCCGTGCTGGCCAGCAGCCAGCTCCCAGGCAGCCGCGGCCTGCCCCAGCCGGCAGCCGCTGGCGCTCGGCCGCCACCCGCCGGCCAAGTAGCCAACCCCATCCCGCTGGCCAGGTAGCCAGCCCCATCTGCTACTTTGGGAATTTGGTCATTCACTCATTTGGTGATTTCTGATTTGGGAATTTTAGGATTTTGCTGATGGATGGGGGAGTAGATGAAGCCGTTATGTGTGGGGGAGGAGATGAAGCCGGAGACGTGGTTCGTTCAAACCACGCCATTATCTAATTGACTTGTCTTAAAACTGACAGGTTTTGTACACATTTCTCTATTGAAACATCTATTATTGATAATTCAATTATTAAAAGGTAAAAGCTTATTGATTGTTTTACATTTTTTTGCCAAAAACATGCATGTTGTCTTTTTTTTTTGTGTGGAATATGTTGTCGTTGGTAGCCAAAATTTTATAGTACAAGTCCGCCCTAAGTCATTTCGCCGGGGACACGGATTCAGTACCGTAGCTTCTTCAAGGCACCACGTACCTTAGCTGCCTGTCTCCACCGTAGAGTTGCCATCCAACGGCTGCCAGACACAAGTGATCAGGTTCCCATTTTCATCAGGCGGGAGATTTTCACGGCGTCACGCGCACAGACGCGACTTTCCCGCGTAGAGCCATTCCCTCACGCCGGGGATGCTGCGCCGCGCGCCCCTCCGCAAAAGGGTAGCAAAAAGAAGAATAAGAGCATGTTCAAAAGTTTTGTAAAATAACTCCCTAGCTTCATTTTTAGCAAAAAAAAAAAGAAAAGAAAAAAGGTGCCCTCCAACAGTTTGATAAAAGGGCATCTTAAAAAAATAAAAAGTTGTTAAATATCATCTTCAACTCATAAGTGACAAATCCCGCCGTCGCTTAAGGCCATGTTTGGTTGGGCTTTTGGTTTTGGCTTTTGGCCCCAAAAGCCAAAAGCCCAACCAAAGGGGCTGCTTTTGGATGGTATTTTTTCAGAAGTAGCTGCTTTTCCGTAGTTCATTTTTGAAAGCTGGTTTGACCCTGCTTTTGGCTTTTGCCTTTCTGCTTTTCGAAATTGGTGGAATAAAAAGCTCTTCCATAGTTGTTTCAAGAGAGATAAAGATAAAAGGTATATTTTATACTTGTTTAACCAAACAGCTTTCAGCTTTTCTACAGCTCACAGCTCATAGTAGCTTTTCCACAGCTCACAGCTCACAGCCCACAGCAGCTTTCTCCCACAGCCACAGCTCAACCAAACAGGGCGTAAGCATCAAACAGGGCAGGCGGCAGTTTGCTCTGTGTCTCTGACGGTTTTGATTGAACAATCCAGCGGTCGGTCTTTCATTCCAGCAACAATGCACGTACTCCGTATATATGCATGCCACAGACCTCTCTATATATATATATAGTATTTCTATAGGATACCCAGGTACTAAATAACTATTCAGCACCCACCCCCAACAGCACCCTGTCCGCAAGGCTCCCAGGATCATCTGTCCGCTCAGACTGCCAGACCTAGCCCAGTTTTTTTCTTGCCGAGGCCCGTCCACTCAGATTCCTAGGCCTGCCCAGTTTTTTTTTCTCGCCGAGGCTAGAGCACCATCACATCTCGTCAGCTCCCCCACCCACCCACGATGGCATGATCTTTTCGGTTTCCTTAGACTCGTCCGCTTCGCTTTGCCCAGACCACCCGCACGCGCGGTGCCGCTTCCACAACCGGCGGTGGCGGTGGCTAACTGTGTGTGTCTTCCTCTCTTCCTCAAGCAGCAAGACGCGGCACTCTATCTACTGGCGGTGGTGCGCGCGGGCCTCGCCCCCCTACAAGCATGGTGCGTGGGCCCCGCCGCCTTCCGACGCCATTGCACGCCTTGCCGCACCTCGATCCGGAGGGAAGATGCCGATTTAGCTCGAAGCAATGCACTCCTACTGTGGACAAAGAGGCTTGTTCATCGTGTATCCGGATCGAGGTGTGGTGCGAGCCCCTGCCTCCCTATCCTCTCTGCGAGACCCACGAGGCCCGCAGTAATTTCAGCTCCGGATTTCCTTATATAACTCTGAAGTCTCTGGCTCACAAGATTAAAAATATTTTCAGCTCTTTATCTATTTGCTTCCGAAGTAGCACTTGTTTAGGCCCATCTTGTCCGCCTTGATACATGTATCTTGTATTGTGGTTTATAGATAGCTGTACAAATTTATTTTTTGCATTGTCCGATCCACTTTCCCCTTTCCGGTATCGACGGGCGCAATCAAGCGACCTCGTGAATCCACAATCATGGGCCGGAGCAGTGTGCCGTCTCGTGTCATACGAGCAACCCAAAGAACCAGTGCCCTGTGACCATGCTGTCAACAACCGTCCTAGGGGGTTCCGGGTGCTGTGGAGGGCAGAGTCGCTTGTGGTCCATAATCTAGAAAGATCCAAATTGGCCCCTTTATTGCAGTCAGGACTTTCATTTGTATATATTCCAGTTCTAAACTTAGTGAATATTTTGCAACTATTCCCGTATGTAACTAGATGGATTATGCAAGATAGTTTAATAAATTAATAGGTTGTGTATCTTTAACTATTAATTGAGGAGGCGGAGAGAAGTGCCTCCACCATCCATTGGACACGCTTGTTATTTTCAGTCTTTGATACATGCACTTTCTTTCTTGTAGGATGTATATTCTGTTTTTATCTGTTATCGCATATTAATAATATCATCTTTAGCTGATGCTTTATATTAATAATGCCATCACTCACTACTTTGTGTAGAGATATATTTTTTCTTTTGAATCAGAATATGCTAGTTAGGAATCACGTGGTAGCAATGCATCGCACCGGAAAATGCAGGGTTTGCAAGAACAAGTCCTGGTTCTTTTTCCTCTTACTTAATGACCACTGGGTGCACTAATTGCATAAGCATCGCGAATTAAGACTTGAACTTTATCATCACTGCATCTAGAGTTAAGTCAAATTGATTGAAGATCCAGCTATCCAATCATCCAACGTGTCAAAAACTTCATTTATTCAGCTTATGTGTTTCTAATCTGTCAATCAAATTGACTCTTGAGATAGTTTGGGTTTTTTTTGTAGTGATGGAGCTGATGGCTATGATCACTTAGGTGCTGAATGAGAAGGGGTGGTCAGTTGAGACATTACTTGTCCATGTCTGTATGCTCCCGGTAATTTTGTCTTCCTACTGTGCTGCCCTCAATTGACTCTGCCTTCCTCTGTGCTGCAGCAGGCTTTGATTTTTTTCTATTCTGAATGTGCTATGCTGGTTTCGATTATCTGAGGAATCAAAATTAGATAGATTGATTATGACATAGTGTCTGTGAGTCGGTATGACGGGTGGGGTGGGGGGGGGGGACACATAGGGCACCCTATTTTTCCTTTTGTTCCCAACCAATGAACTAATACATAACATTGTTACTTCCTGGGAAACACACATGGAAGACTAATGCAATAGTTTCTCAGTCAATTACCCGTCCTAGATTTAGTGATTGGAGGAATTAGTTAATACTTCTAGTCTTTAGTTATGTACATAACCAATTAATTTTTGCT